GGGAGTCACTCCTGTTGATGTCAACTCTAGGAAGGGTGACCTGAGTCAGGATTCACCATTCCTTTCATATTAGAAATAATTTACCTTTTTAAAAACAATACACCTTTTTTTTTTTTTTTTTGGTAGAGACGGTGTCTCCCTACGTTGCCCAGGCTGCTGTTTTTTGTTTTGTTAATTTTTTTTTTTTTTTTTGAAATGGAGTCTCACTCTGTCACCCAGGCTGGAGTGCAGTGGCCAGATCTCAGCTCACTGCAAGCTCCACCTCCCAGGTTCATGCCATTCTCCTGCCTCAGCCTCCCGAGTAGCTGGGACTACAGACACCCGCCACCATGCCCAGCTAGTTTTTTGTATTTTTAGTAGAGATGGGGTTTCACCATGTTAGCCAGGATGGCCTCATCTCCTGACCTTGTGATCTGCCCCCCTCAGCCTCCCAAAGTGCTGGGATTACAGGCATGAGCCACCGTGCCCAGCCCCCAGGCTGCTTTTGAACTTCTTGGCTCAAGTGATCCTTCTGCCTCATCCTTCCGAAGTGTTGGGATTACAGGTGTGAGCCACTGCGCCCAACCAAAAAATAAATTTTTTTTTCCCTTGAGTCAGAGTCTTGCTCTGTTGCCCAGGCTGGAGAGCAAGGGCACAATTTCAGCTCACTGCAACCTCCGCCTCCTGGGTTCAAGTGATTCCTGCCTCAGCCTCCTGAGTAGCTGGTATTACAAGTGAGTGCCACCACGCCCGGCTAATTCTTGTATTTTTAGTAGAGACGGGGTTTTACCATGTCGGTCAGGCTGGTCTTGAACTCCTGACCTCAAATGATCCGCCTGCCTTGGCTTCCCAAAGTGTTGAGATTACAGGTGTGAGCCACCACACCCGGCCTAAAAATAAATCTTAAGGCTCTGTATGGGACCTGGAATTCTGCCCCAAGACCCCATGCAAGTGGAGGTGAGGAGGCAAGTGGAGTTCTCTCCTCTGCCCAGGGATTCTTCTCCATGATTTTACTTTCCTGTGACTTCCTGGAGAGCTGGGACAGTGACCTGAAAGGACACAGTTCCCCTTGGATCTGGTCACTGGGCCTCTGACCCTGCAACCCCTGGGGCTTTCTGGGGAAGGTTCTCTGTCTGCCACCAGACCAAGTGCTGGACCCTGCGTGTGTAGGTCAAAGGTCAGGGGTAGGCTTCTCCACTGCAGGGGTCTGACCTATCAGACAGCCCTCCGAGGCAGGGACGAATAACTTGCAGTGGGTGAGAGTTAGGGCTTTGCCATAAGCATATGGAGATGGAGGTGAGGCTAATTCTCACTGGGACATGGTGGATAGAATAATGGCCCTGTGAAGATGTTTACACAGCAAAAGGGATTTTGCAGCCATGATTCAATTAAAGACCTTGAGATGGGATTACCCAAGTGGTCCTAATGTAATGCCAAGGGTCCTTATAAGCTAGGGGCAGGAGGATCAGAAAGAGAGAGGGAGAGAAAGAAAGAGACAGATGAGAGAGAGACACACACACATATAGAAACAGGGTCAGAGACAGACAGAGACAGAAAGGAATAGAGACCAGAAGATGTCATGTTCTGCTGGCTTTGAAGAGGGAGGATGGGGCCAAGAGCCAAGGAATGCAGGTGGCCTTTAGAAGCTGGAAAGTTCAAGGAAACAGATTCTCCCTTAAAGCTTCCAGAAGGGACAAGCCCAGCTGACACATTGCTTCCAGCACTTCTGGACTCCAGAACTGTACGTTAATACATTTATGTTGTTTTAAGCATTGATTTGTGACTGTGTGCCACAGCAGCCTCAAGAACCTCACAGGGGCCACCCGTGGTCTTGCCTGCCCTGCTGGGTATTGGTTCCTCTTCTCCTGGTGACAGCTCCTGGATCTTCTTTTGGGAAACTCCACTCCCTACTCTCAGTCCTGGGTTTGGGTAGAGCTGGCCCATCATGCCCCGGCTCCTCGGTGCATGTGACAGAAAATTAATCAGAAGAGGGCATCTCCCTGGTCACAGTGCAGGCGGCCTTGAGTTGACAGGGCTCTGTTTGGGGCCATTTACAGACACCGTGGGGAAGAGAAAATCACTCCTCCCTCAGAGGTGGCTGAGGATCAGTGTAAGCCCAGAGGGGCTGGCAGCTGCCTTGGCACTGTGGTGGGAGAGCCCACCTCTAGATGGACCCCATGCAGGAAAACCAGGGACCCTGAGCCGAGAGAGATGACAGGGTGGGTGCTCCCTGGTCACCCTAGTCAAGCTTCAATCAAACTGATCTTGAGCTTTTCTGATACACAAAACACTAACGCTCCTGTTTTGCTTAACCCCGTTTGAGGTGGGATTCTGTTACTTGCAATCCCCAAAGCCCTACCCGAATGTCACTTCCATCCATTCCTATTCTCAGGTGGGGGAGAGTGTGGAGTTCCGGCCACTGTGTGGGACCCTCAGCTCACCTTTATGTCAGTTACTGCCATTTACTGTTTGTTGGGGGTAATTATGAGTTATTGTACTGCTCTCTGAACAATTTTATTTTGGGAACGTCCATTAAAATCGGAGTGTGCTTCTTGTGTGAATGTCTTCCATCTGTTATGTCTACGGCATGGGAAAAAATGGAGAACTGCAATTTTGGAGGCCAGAGAGTCGTTGGACATGTTTAGCCTTTTCCTGGCAATTTGTAATCAGGAAACGTGTGCAGAACTCAGTTCCTGGCACTCAGTGGGAGCCACTGGAGCTGGCGATCACGAAATCAGTGTGGGGGGGTGTTCGCTGCTCTCCAGGACCCTGGCAGGGGGTGGTTGAGGGGCTCGGAGTTTGGTATTTGGTAGAGGAGCTAGCAAAAGATGATTGAAACAAAACTGTTGCAACTCTCTTCACTTTGCCCCTTCCCGGTGAACACCTACCTCGGTTCTCTCTCGGGCCAGTGGAGACCCTGTTTTCTGATGTTTTGTTCCAAGATGGTCTAGAACAGCATGTGGGCATGGGAGAAGAAAGCAAGGGTGGGTCTCTGGAGAAATATCGTGGATGCACATGTGATAACCAGCAGAGAGGAAATAGACCAAGATGCCCATGTTCTCAGCAACAGCAGCATGACAGCCAGGTTGCCAGACAAGGGGCCATCAGGGTCTCTGTGGATGCAGTAGGAACAGAAGAGCCACAGACGTCCTGTAGACATCTGGGTGGGATGTCACTGCAACAATAACTCTTCTCTTTTACCTTCCTCTTGTGCCTCTGGATCCTGGCTCTACCTTCACCCGTCTCTCTCTGTGTCCTCTCCTCTTCTTTTTTTTTTTTTTTGACAGTTTCACTCTGTCGCTCAGGCTGGAGTGCAGTGGTGCAGTCTTGGCTCACTACTCACTACAACCTCTGCCTCCCAGGTCTGAGCTATTCTCGTGCCTCAGCCTCCCAAATAGTTGGGGCTAAAGGCGTGCACCACCACGCCTGGCTAATTTTTTTATTATTAGTAGAGACGGGGTTTCCCCATGATGGCCAGGCTGGTCTCCAACTGCTGACTTCAAGTGATCGACTGGCCTCGGCATCCCAAAGTGCTCAGGCATGAGCCACTGCACCCGGCCCTCTCCTCTTCTTATAGGGACACCCGCCATTGGATTTAGGGAACCCCCTAAAACCAGGATGACTTCATCTCTAGATCCTTAACTGGTTACCTCAGCAAAGAACCTATTTTCAAGCAAGGTTCGATTCTGAGGTTCTGGGTGGGTGTGAATCTTTGAGGATATGCGTCAACCTGACGCAAGGTCTCCTTGGACTGGCAGTGTCCCTTGACTGAAGGGCACTGCTCCCCTGAGGGTGTCCCACTATGCCCGGCTTGCATTCTGGTTTGGGTAATTGCTCCCCACCATTGTCCTTTTGGGCCTAGGAGTGGAGACAGTGCTGCCATCGCCAGCCCTGGGCTCCTTCATTTGCCACTTCTTTTGTGGGCCTCCCCTAGGGCCCCGCCTTGTAAGTAAGCTCTCCTAGAATTATCCTGAAGCTGCTGTCATTTCCTGTTGGGACACTGATGGGTACAGTGACTGGCATGGAGCACCAACTCCGTCTCCTTCCATCCCCACAATTACTGTCATTCCCATTTGAAATGAAGGGACAGAGGCCCCAGGAGGCCAAGGTGCTTGCCCGAGGCCTTGCAGCTGAGATAGGGCCAAAGTTGGCCTCAAGACTCGTGCTGTTGACCATGGGGCTTCAATGTCATGGGCAATGTCCTCCCTCTCAGGGTCCCAGGAAAGCCAGTTCTGCCTCTGGGAGGGGTCCTTTGGGTCCTTCGGGAAGAGGGGGGCCTGACTGCGTGGTTGCCGTAGGTGAGAGAAACCCAGCTCCAACTGGTGTCAGCAAAAGAGAGAATGTATTGGCTCCTGTGCCTCAAGGTCCTGGGGGTGGCCTGGCCTGAGGCACCTCTGGATTCAGGTGTGCACGTGCCGGCCTGGAATAGGTGCAGCCCCCATCTCAATGCCTTGTCTCTGCCGGGAACTGGTTCCTTCTGCAGCAGCAGGGCTACGATGCCTCCTGGTGTCTCCAGACCCTCATCCTACCAACTCCAGTCTCAGCAGAAAGAGAGCTGCTTTCCCCACAGTGCCTGCGAAGGTCTCAGGGAAGACACTGGTGGACTGGGTCACACGCCTGAAAGGTGGTTTCCCAGAGGGCAATCAGGGTACCTCTGAGGCTTCTGGGAAGAACAGGTGCAGACTGGGCTCCAGAGCTCTAGTGTGCCAGGGAACGAGACAGAGCTGAGGGGAAGGGGGAGAGTGGACGTGGGAGTGGGGCTTCTTCTTCCATGTCGCAGTGTCACTGTTCAAGGGGTTCACCTCGCCCGCTGCCTAGACAGAGCTGATTCATCAAGACAGGGGATTGCAATAGAGAAAGGGTAATTCACTCAGAGCCAGTTATGCTGACCCAGAGTTTTAATATTACTCAGATCAGTCTCCCTGAGCATTCAGGGAGCAGAGTTTTTAAGGATAACTTGGTGGGTGGGGGAAGCCAGTGAGTTGGGAGTGCTGATTGGCCAGAGATGAAATCACAGGGAGTCAAAGCTGTCCTCTTGCACTGAGTCAGTTCCTGGGTGGGGGCCATAAGATCAGATGAGCCAGTTTATCGATCTGGGTGGGGCCAGCTGATCCATCAGGTGCGGGGTCTGCAAAATGTTTCAAGCATCGATGATTTATTTTTATTTTTATCTTTTTGAGACAGAGTCTTGCTATGTTGCCCAGGCTGGAGTGCAGTGGCAAGATCTTGGCTCACTGCAACCTCCAACTCCCAGGTTCAAGAGACTCTCCTGCCTCAGCCTCCCTAATAGCTGGGATTACAGGTGCTCACCACCACGCTGGGCTAATTTTTGTATTTTTAGTAAAGAAGAGGTTTCGCCATGCTGGCCAGGCTGGTCTTGAACTCCTGACTTCAGGTGATCCACCCACCTCAGCCTCCCGAAGTGCTAGGACTATAGGCATGAGCCACCACGCCGAGCTCAAGCACTGACCTTCAGAGCAGTCGAGGAAGGGTCAGAATCTTGTAGACTCCAGCTACACGACTCCTAAACCATCATTTCTATTCTTGTGGCTAAAGTTAATCCTACAAAGACAATCTAGTCCCCATTCTAGAAGGAAGTCTGCTTTAGGAAAGGGCTGTGACCGTCTATGTTTAAACTATAAACTAAGTTTCTCCCAACGTTAGTTCAGCCTACGCCCAGGAATGAACAAGGACAGCTTGGAGGCTAGAAGCAAGATGGAGTTGGTTAAGTTAGATCTCTTGCACTTTCTCAGTCATAATTTTGCAAAGGCGGTTTCAGCAGGAGTCCTCCCAGGCTGAGGAGGGGTAAGGGGACAGTCAGAAGCTGTTTGGGGAGGGACATGCAAGCACCTGGATGTTTTGTGTTGGATGGAGAAGACACAGGGTGCCACATGGGAATCGTTCCCCTGTTGAAAAAACCGAACTTTGTAAAATATTTGAAGACATTTATTCTGAGCCAAATGTGAGGACCATGACCAAGACATAGCCCAGGAGGTCCTGAGAACATGTGCCCAAGGTGTTTGGGTGACAGCTTGGTTTTATGCATTTTAGGGAGACCTAAGGCATCAGCAACACACGTGAGGAATGCATTGGTTCAGTCCAGAAAGTTGGGACAACTTAAAGGGTGGGGGCGTAGGGCAGCGGGAGTGTGGCTTACAGGTTGTAGGTGAATTCAAAGATTTTCTGCTTGGCAATTGGTTGAAAGAGTTATATTATCTAAAAGCCTGGAATCAGTAGAAAGGAGTGTTTGGGTTAAGATAAGGGGTTGTGGAGACCAAGCTTCTTATGAAGTCTCCTGGGTGAGCACCCTTAGAGACAGTAGATGGCAAATGTTTCCTACTCAGACCCTTAAAAGGTGCAAGACTCTCAGTTCATCTCTTCAGGATTGGGAGGGCCTGGAAGTGGGTAAAAATTTAGTTATGTTAATAGAGATTCTTTACAGATGCAAATTTGCCTTCACTCAGGCTGGAGTGCAGTGGGTGATTAGGGCTCACTGCAGCCTCCACCTCCCAGGCTCAAGCCATCCTCCTACCTCAGCCTCCCCGAGCAGCTGGGACTACAGACATGCTGGGACCACCATGTTGGCTATTTATTTTATTTTTTGTTGAGACAGGATTTCACCATGCTGCCCAGGCTGGTCTCGAACTCCTGGGCTCAAGCGATCCTCTTGCCTCAGCCTCCCAAAGTGTTGAGATTACTTCCTTCTTTATCTGTTTCTTTATCTGTCATGTGATGTTATGTTGGAGTCAGGTTGAAAAGTAAGCCACGTTATATCAGGTTAACTAAAACCTATCTGATGAGATTCTACAGTTTCTAGGGTATGACTCCTATAAACCAAAGAGTATCTGAGACAAGTCTTCATTTAGGAGGTTTCTTTTGCCAAGGTTAGGACATGCCTGTGACACAGTTTCAGGAGGTCCTGATGATGTGTGAATTATACACGGTGGTCGGGGCATAGCTTGGTTTTATACACTTCAGGGAGACATGAGACATCAGTCAATATATGTAAGATGTCCATTGGCTTGTTCTGGAAAGGTGGGACAATTCGAAGTGGGGAAGGGGCTTGCAGGTCACAGGAAGATGAACAGACAAGTGGTTGCATTATTTTGAGTTTCTGATTAGCCTTTCCAAAGGAAGCAATCAGATATGCATTGATCTCAGTGAGCAAAGGATGACTGAGTTCGGTCTGTCCTTTGTCCACAAGGAATTTCCTTGCGGACAAATTGTGAGGGAGGTATGTAGTTTTTTTTGTTTTTTGTTTTGTTTGTTTTGTTTTTTTGAGGTGGAGTCTCACTCTGTCGCCCAGGCTGTAGTGCAGTGGCGCAATCTCGGCTCTCTGCAAGCTCTGCCTCCCGGGTTCACGCCATTCTCCTGGCTCAGCCTCCCGAGTAGCTGGGACTACAGGTGCCCGCCACTGCGCCGGGCTAATTTTTTGTATTTTTAGTAGAGATGGGGTTCCACCATGTTAGCCAGGATGGTCTCGATCTCCTGACCTTGTGATCCATCTGACTCGGCCTCCCAAAGTGCTGGGATTACCGGCGTGAGCCACCGCTCCCAGCCATGTAGCTTTTTTTTTTTTTTTTTTTTTTTTTTAATCTTAGTAGCTCTTTTTTTCAGGACTAGAGTGGGAGGCAGGTTTGCCCTAAGCAGTTCCCAGCTTGACTTTTCCCTTTAGCTTAGTGATTTTGGGATCCCAAGATTTATTTTCCTTTCACACTCCCTAGGCCCCTTAGATATGAATTTGGGCAAGAGAGAAAAAAGGTCAGAGTTTAGTCCTCACCCCCGACCTGGTCCCAAGGACTTCAACACCATAAACCCTCCCCAGGGACGGATGACTCTGCTCCACCCCGGCTGGCCAAACTGCTACTTCAAAGTGTGCCCTTCCAGCCTCAGGCACTGTGGGCCCAGACGCTCCCCACAGAGGCTCTGGAGGAGCCCTGCCTACCGTAATCAGGCTATGTGAACCTGGACCACCCTTGAACCCTCTGGGCCTCAGCTTCTCCTGCTGTTAAAAAGGGGGCCTGCTCCCCTTTCTTGAGAGGCTCTAGTGGGACTTTGGATGTGAGCAGATTACCCAGGTCTTAGGAGATATTCAGCAAGTGCCATGCCCAAATCTGAAACCCCAGCCTCTGAGCTTCCCCAGGGGTGCAGCGGAGCAGGGCACTCGTCAATTATCCTGTCTGTGGATGTCTCCCTTTTGTCTCCTCTTAGATCAGCTTGTGCCTGGCCAGCCTGGAGGCTGTCAGGGCCGCTGGTCGAATGCTGCCTTTGTCACCCTCAACATCCTCAACAAATGCTTGTTTGAGTGGCTGATGTGCGAGACGGGAGGGCTTTGTTTATTCCAGATCGTGCATTGAATAAACACGTCTTGAGCTAACACAGTGCCAGGCGGTGAGGGGCACAGAGAGGCCGAGGGGGACAAGGCGTGGCTTGGAGTCAGAGCAGTCTCTGTCTGAACTCTGGCCCTGCCTCCTGCCAGCTGTGAGTCACACTTTGGTCAAGGCTTTCCCCTTTTGTGCCTCAGTTTCCCCCTCTGTAAAAAGAGGACAGAACTGCAGTCTCATAGGAGTGCTGCCAGCATTAAATGTGGTGGAATGTTCTGGGGGGCTTTGCATGGGGCTTTCGGAGCTGGTTTATGGAATAGCCTGGAGTCTTTTGATTGTTCCTCCAGTTCCTGTCTGCCAGCTGTGCAAAGTCAAACTACTCTTTCCTATTCTTTGACTCACAGATTTTCCTATCATTTTCATTTTCTTTCTTTTTTTTTTTGAGTCAGAGTCTCTCTCTGTCACCCAGGCTGGAGTGCAGTGGTGTAATCTCGGCTCACTGCAACCTCTGTCTCTTTGGTTCAAGAGATTCTTGTGCCTCAGCCTCCCAAGTAGCTAGGATTACAGGTGTGTGCCACCACACTCAGCTAATTTTTTTTTTTTGTATTTTTAGTAGAGACAGGGTTTCCCCATGTTGGCCAGGCTGGTCTCAAACTCCTGACCTTAAGTGATCCACCTGCCTTAGCCTCCCAAAATGCTGGGATTACAGGCATGAGCCACTGTGCCCAGCCTCCATCAATTTCAAATGTAAAATGCTCAGGCCTGTGCATTGAAATGCTCTGGTCTCTTCCTCATTCTTCCCTTCTGCTTCTGATTTAGCTCCTCCTGTGTGCTGGAGAAGGGAAGGTTGGTGACAAGTCAAGAGACCTGCCGGTTTGGTCCTGCCCTGGTCCTAGTCCTTTCTAGAGGGGCCATCTTCACCTCCGTTCTTCCCTCCACTCCTGTCCCTGGGGAGAAGGGATGAGCGGCTGGTCTTCCCTTCTTTTCTTCACCGTTCCTTGTTCTGTTACCCCCTTGCGTCTCCCAGTACTTTCTCTGATTCTCTTCCTTGCAGCTGGGACGGGGAGACATCTAGTGGGACAGGAAGTTGGGGGCGCAGCAAAGCCGGTTCCATGGCCCCCGCAGGTGAGGGGACACCTGGCCTGGTGGTCAGTCTCTGTGTCATGACGTAGGTAGAAGCTGAGGCCACAGGAGGCTCTCACTTGCTCCTCTTCCAACATCGTTACTATTGAGTACTTGGGCAGAGAAGCATTTTCTTCTTGCTTTATGCACTGTTGGTGGAAGGGGAGAGAGCGAGGGGAAGCAGAAAAGCCTCCAGTGTGTGAAGCCCCTTTCATGAAGGCCTGCAGGCACCCCTCCCTCTGAAGAGCCCTGTCCTGAGCCGGGGACTGGCGAGATGGCCTCTCCCCGTCACAGATCTGCTTGGCATGATTCTGGAAATTCCTTACTGAACATTTAGGTCTACAGATTCCATTTAGGCCGGGTGCGGTGGCTCACACCTGTAATCCCAGCACTTTGGGAGGCTGAGGCGGGTGGATCACCTGAGGTTAGGAGTTCAAAACAAGCCTGGCTTACATGGTGAAACCTTGACTCTACTAAAATTACAAAAACTAGCCAGGTGTGGTGGCGCACCCCTGTAGTCCCAGCTACTCGGGAGGCTGAGATGGGACAATCGCTTGAACCCAAGAGGTGGAGGTTGCAGAGAGCTGAGATTGCGCCACTTCAGTCTGGGCAACAGAGCGAGACTCCGTCTCAAAATAAATAAATACATAAATAAACAAGCTGTTTAGATAAAGAAGGTCAGCAGGGATCCCAACAGAAGGACCCGCGCGTCCTCCTGGCTGTTGTTGAGTGGGGGAGGGCCTCAGTGCTTCTCGGGATGTGCTGTGCTGGCATTGTCTCTCCGAGGGTCAGCCCAAGGCCCCCGTTTTCCTCTGGCTTGGCTCTTGAGGGCCCCGCTCTCTGTGAATGGAGGGGCAGGGTTTGGAGAGCCTCAGGGCTGTGGAACAGGAAGTCAGCGTGGTGTTATCAGTTATCGGGAAGCCTCCCCTCCAGGATGGGCCAGAGCACTGGATTAGGAGCCTGCACGGCAAGGACCTGGTCCCCCGGTCACTCGTAATGAAAACAGAAGCTCTACCCCATCTATAGGGCACATATGGTGTGCTGGGTCATATCCAGCCCACGGCCCTATTCCCCACCTTCAGCCAGTTCCATCTTACAGAATCCTCTTCGTTCTGTGTAACTCTCCTTCTTCTGCTCACCCATGTCCCCCGTGGCTCACTGCACCCACATGAGAGGCCAAAATGAAGACTCTACGGACCCAAAGAGCAGCCAGGATTTTTGTTCCTGAGACTTGATCCGAATGGGGAAGGGAGGGAAAGTGGCGCAGGGCTGCCTTGTACAGGTATTCAGGTTGTGTACTGCAGTAGGGTATGTCACCCACCAGGCCGCCATTCTCAGTGTAGATGTAAACTAATCGATTGAGAGCATGTGGGTGAGTGTGGAGACTTGGGCCTGTGCCTGTGGCCTGGAGTAGGAAGCTCCACACTGGCCTGGACACACAGGGAGATGCCAGTACACCCTGCACACCCTGGCATACCCACATAATGTGTGCAGCAGCGCCGTGGCCACTGAGGGCAGGACCCCAGCTGCCTCTGCCCATCTGCTGCCCTGAGACCTGAGCCCACCCTATCCTGGCTCCTCAAGGACAGGCATTCACTGTTCAAGGAGCAAGTGAAGGAGCAGTCAGTGAGCGAGCAACGGAGGAAGCAAGGACCATGAGAGGAGGGGCCAGCAACTGAAAATCCCTACATTTTCAGGCCTTCATTTCTTGGGCTGAGCACCTTTTGTCTTGGGTGTAATCCCAGGCAGTCCCGGGTCTGGGTCCTGCAGCCTGTCCCAGGGCAGGCCTGGGCCCAGGGAACAGTGGGTAGAGCTCTGACTTTGGAGTTCAAAGTTAAAGCCCCAAGGCCAGGTGCGGTGGCTCACGCCTGTAATCCCAGCACTTTGGGAGGCTGAAGCGGGTGGATCACTTGAGGCCAGGGGTTCGAGACCAGCCTAGGCAACATGGCAAAACCCCATCTCTACTAAAAATACAGAAAATTAGCTGGGCATGGTGGTGCGCACCTGTAGTCCCAGCTACTTGGGAGACTGAGGCAAGAGAGTCGCTTGAACCTGGGAGGCGGAGGCTGCAGTGAGCTGAGATCACGCCTCAGCACTCCAGCCTGGGCAACGGAGTGAGATTCTGCCTTAAAAACACAAAAACAAAAACAAAGTAAAGCCCCAGATGACCGCCTGGGTATCCATTGCCCATGCAGCTTCCTCAGGCCACGTGAAGTGAGGGGCATCAAGGAGACATCGTACGGAAGCTTCACCAATGCGGTCCCAGCAGGCCACTCCAGGAACATCTGCCTCCTCCCTCCTGCCCACAGGCGGTGCGGGTTCTGCCAGGCTCCCCCGGGCATGGGGTGCGGGGCAGAGCCAGACAGGGAGACTGGGTGAGCTCTGGCACAGCCAGCCTGCAGGGAATGTGCCGGCCCCTCCCAGGCTCTGGCAAGAGACTGGAATACAAAGCTATTTTTATTTATGATAGTGTCAGTGGGCTGGTCTCCGTCTAGACGGCTGGTGTTATCATTCGAGGCCATCCTGGAATGCGCAGCCCCATTTATTGAGAACAGAGGACAGTGTGCAGATTAAACAGCTCGTAAAAATACGCTGGGAACCGACACTGGGCCAGGAAGACCAAGGTAACCTTGGCTAGGTCAATTGTCCTCATTCGTTTTGGACACGGGAATGTTTTCAGAGAAAACAAGGAGAGCTGTGGCCCTGGGAAAGCCAGCACAGTCCTGCTGGTCACAGTCCTGCTGGTGCCCCCTCCACAGAGACACACATGGGAGAGGAGGAGGAGGGTGGGACGGAGGGGCCACCTTGCCTGGGACAGGCCATCCAGAACAGCTTAGCCTCGATGGGAAGCTCTGTCTCCACTGGCCTGGAAGCCAGGACGAGCAGCTGCCGCCCTCTCCCTGGGCTCCTGCCCTTGGCACAGGGGCCATTCCTGGCTACCCTGGTGATCTGGGCTCCATGGGGGAGCTGGACCCTGGGGATTGATCAAGGAGTCCCATGTCCTAGTCAACTTACTACTTCGTTCATTTATCCATCCACTTGCTCATTTTTTGGCCCAGTGAATTACAAATGTGTACTGAGTGCTTACTTACAAGGCCCCAGGCAGAGGCTTCCAGACAGACATGGGGAAGAGGGACATGAAAACACAGACTGGCCTGGTGTGGTGGCTCACACCTGTGACCCCAGCCCTTTGGGAGGCTGAGAGGGAGGATCGCTTGAGCCTGGGAGGCAGAGGCTGCAAGGCTGCAGTGAGCCACAGTTGTACCACTGCACTCCAGCCTGGGGACAGAGTGAGACCCTGTCTCAAAAAAAAAAAAAAAAAAAAAAAGGCGGGAGAGTCCCAGTGAGAAATACCGGAAATGCCCAAATCTGAGCGTCACTCTCTTAGTTCTTTTTTTTCTTTTATCTTTATTGTTCTGGAGACAAAGCCTCACTCTGTCGCTCAGGCTGGAGTGGAGTGGTGCGATCTTGGCTCGCTGAAACCTCTGCCTCCCCAGCTCAAGTGAGCCTCAGCTTCTCGAGTAGCTGGGACTACAGGCACGCACCACCACCACGCCCAGCTAATTTTTGTATTTTTAGTAGAGATGGGGTTTCACCATGTTGCTCAGGCTGGTCTTGAGTTCCTGGGCTCAAGTGATCCTCCTGCCTTGGCCTCCCAAAGTGCTGGGATTACAGGTGTGAGCCACTGTGCCCGGCCTGATTTTTTTTTTTTTTTTTTTGAGACAGGGTCTCCCTATGTTGCCCAGGCTATACTCTCTTAGTGAAAGAGCTGCCCAGTGCCTGTGAGAGAAGGGAGGACCCCGGGGCTCAGGCTTCCTTGCTGTCAACCTTTCCCCTTGCCAGTTCCTACCTCCCTGGTCTGCATCCCCGAGCCTGGAGATGACATTCCTCCCTCCCCGGGGCCATCTTCCCCTCCTTGGAGCCCCCGCTCCATCTGCTCTGCACAGGGTACCCTCAGTCCCCCCTGGGAAATCCATCCCAGAGTCCCCCCTCGGGGAAGCCCTGGCAGCTGGCATCCCAGGCTGGGGTCCTGGAAGCCCATGGGCTGTGGTGACTCTGTCTCCCTCCCTTTCCTGGAGCTCCCGGGAGGCAGGGGTTGTGGGGCTGAGCACAATGGGCTTGGGCTTGACCTGTGGCCTCGCTGTGCATTTAGCTGCCCTGAGCCCCGGTGTCTTCATCTATAAAGTGGAGATGAGCGCAGACCCTCCGCCTCAGGGTGAGGACTGCAGGGATGAGGGGCTAAAGGAAGTTAGGCAGTGCTAACACACACAAGGACATCACCGATGCCAGCCACTGTGACCCTGCCTTTCCCTCCGTCGCGCTGCCTCCTACCTTCAGAGCCTGACTCCAAGGGTGACCCACGGGGAATGAGCAAAACAGTTCTCGCCTGCATGAGTAACACGAGAGGAGGAGGTCGGCTGGGAAGATCCCCTCGCTGCTGGCATCCTCAGGGGACCCATTTCTCAGCTCCAAACAGAAAAGTCAATTCCTGGGAAAGAGAAGGAAGAGAAGGCAGCAATGGTGGCCTTGACCCAGCCCTTCCCAAGGGGCCAACAGCTGCAGTGAAGGCTTCTGTGTGGACACTGCCTGGGCAGCATGAAGAGGGGCCCAGACCTGGTCGGGAGACAGCACTCCCAGCAGGAACCAGCATAGCGGAAGGGAACGCTGGGCTGTAGCTCTGCCCTTCAGCAGAAAGTCACGGCGCCCCTCCCAGCCTGTGTTTCTGCTTCGGAGAAACAGTTACAGCAGCAGCTCCCCTGCAAGGTCCCGAGGCTTGCCTGGGGTGGAGTGTGCCTAGTGTCCAGGGAGCGCCGGCTGCGGTCTGAATGCCTGAGTCCTGGCTTCTCCTGAGAACAAGCAGACAGACCGGCAGCAGAGCCCATGCCGAGTGAACTCTGCAGGCATGTCGAGCCCAGCACTCACAGACAGCCCCTCCTTTGCGCCAGGGGAGAGGGGAATGTCGTCCTTCCTGGTACCTGGTGCGTGTCCTGTACCCATCCTTACCCTGGCCCTGGCTGGAGGTGCCAGTTCATTCTGCATCGCCCTGAAGGCCGCCCGGGCTCTCAGTGTGGAGTCCTCCCTCCCGACCTGCCCTCCGGCCTCCTCCCTCGGCCTGGGCCTCCTCAGCCTTCATCTTTGATAAAGCCCAGGGATTTTTGAGATGGAGTTTAGCTCTTGTTGCCCAGGCTAGAATGCAATAGTGCGATGTTGGCTCACTGCAGCCTCTGTCTCCCTGGTTCAAGCTATTCTCTTGTTTTAGCCTCCCAAGTAGCTGGGATTACAGGCGCCTGCCACCACGCCTGGCTAATTTTTCGTAATTTTAGTAGAGATGGGGTTTCACCATGTTGGCCAGGCTGGTCTCGAACTCCTGAGTTCAGGTGATCCACCCACCTCAGCCTCCCAAGGTGCTGGCATTACAGGCGTGAGCCGCCGCGCCTGGCCCAAAGCCCAGGGTTCTTTTCTGAGGTCCTCTAGAGCAAGCTTGCAGCCCTGCCTTTCTCCATTCAGCTGAGCTGCTCCTGTCCCATCCTCTTTTCTTATTTATCCAACACCTTTTTTTTTTTTTGAGACGGAGTCTTGCTCTGTCACCCAGGCTGGAGTGCAGTGGTGTGATCTCAGCTCACTGCAACCTCCGCCTCCCATGTTTCAAGCAATTCTCCCACCTCAGCCTCCTGAGTAGCTGGGACTACAGGTGTTTGCCAACAGGGCCAACTAATTTTTTTTTTTTTTTGTATTTTTAGTAGAAACAGAGTTTTGCTATGTTGGCCAGGCTGCTTTCAAACTCCTGACCTCAAGTGATCCACCTGCCTTGGCCTCCCAATCTGCTGGGATTACAGGCGTGAGCCACCGAGCCCAGCCCATGTGCATTTATTGAACACCTACTATGTGCCAGGATCAAGCAAGGGACCAGAGGACACAGCACCACCCCTCCCATTCCTGTGGCAGGAAAGCCCCAGGGCAGAGTTCACTCTGTCTCTAGGGTCCACACTCAGAACCCAACACATTGTCCTGCACAGAGCAGGGGTGAGTGAGCGCCGAAGGTATAAGAGCAAGACTTCTGGGTCTCAGGAAGCCCTTGACTGCCTGCAAGCTGCCTGGGATCTGCTGAGGGAGGTGGCGCAGCATAGGGTCAAGACCTCAGGGTTTGATACCAGTGAAGCCTGGTTTTCAGTTCCAGCTGTGTGACCTCGAGCAAGTGAATGAACCTTTCTGAGCCTGTGGGGTCACAGCAGCACCTGCCATGGAGAGCTGGTAAGGGATTACATGCATTAATACATGCAAATTGCTTTTCCTAGACAGGGCGAGTTCTCAGAATTATGTTATTGGCAAGATGTGAATATTATAATCATGCCTGTTTGGGAGGGCAGGTACGGAGGCTGAGAGAGGTGAGGCCCACAAACGAGTAGCAGAACTGTAGCCCTGTCTTCCACCCGAGTCCCAGGTCTTCTACCTGGATCTCTTTTTCTGAACTTACTACCCTTGGGAGGAGCAAACTCCAGCTCCTCCTGGGATCCTTCCCAGGAAATGAATTTAGGAGGATGGCAGTCTGGGTTTGCTCTTGGCGGTTCTGGAGCCTGGGAGGTGCTGAGTCCTGCTCCCATCCACAGCAATGCTCCATTGTACAGCATCTCCGGGCTGGCCCACCGCACACTCAGAGTGCCTGAGGGGCTGATCTCCAGGCACACAGGAGGTCTGGGATCCAGGACACTCTGGGGCTAGCTGCCCCACATGGCACTGAGTGGGCTCCAAGCAGCCACTATGGCTACTCCCAGAAAAATGAAAAACCAAAGGGCAGGGCTCAGGGAGCCACCCATAGAGGCCCACGTTCTTCTTCTTCTTTCTTTCTTTTTAATTTTTTTTTTCAGACGTAGTCTTGCCCTGTCGCCCAGGCTGGAGTACAGTGGTGCAATCTCCGCTTACTGCAACCTCTGCCTCCCCGGTTCAAGCGATTCTTCTACCTCAACCTCCTGAGTAGCTGGGATTATAGGCGCACGCCACTACGCCCAGCTAATTTTTGTATTTTAGTAGAGACGGGGTTTCACCGTGTTGGCCAGGCTGGTCTTGAACTCCTAACCTCAGGTGATCCACCTGCCTTGGTCTCCCAAAATGCCGGGATTACAGGTGTGAGCCAACACGCCTGGCTGCTTCTTTTTTACATTTTATTTATTTATTTTAAAAAGAAAAAGGTTTTAATCTGTCTTTGTCAGCACGCCTCCAAGAACTCTGACTTCTTTCTTTCTTTTTTTTCTTTTTTGAGACAGGGTCTCACTGTGTTGGCCAGGCTGGAGTGCAATGGCACAATCTTGGTTCACTGCAAGCTCCGCCTCCCAGACTCAAGCAATCCTCCTGCCTCAGCCTCCTGAGTAGCTGGGACCACAGGCGCGCACAACCACACCCGGGTAAGTTTTTGTTTTTTGGTAGAGACAGGGTTTCACCATGGTGCTCAGGCTGGCCTCGAACTCCTGAGCTCAAGCGATTTGCATGCCTCGGCCTCCCAAAGTGCAGGGATTACAGGCTTCAGCCACCGCACCCAGCCCAGGTTCTTCCTGTGAGAGGCTGGGGCCAGCCTCTCCAGGGAAAACACTTGGGATATAGACTGCTAGTGGGTTTCACAACGGGAGCACCCAGTGGGAATTCAGAGTCAGGGCCCAGACCGGGAGCTGCCTGGAGGCAGAAGAACCTCTGAACTTAAATAGAATAAACGGCCCTGGAGACCTGAAGTTCTGGGTTTCAGGCACCTTCAAGGTGTTGCCCGTAGGAGGCAGAGAAGCTGTAAGCATAGATAGCATGTTATTGCTGCTATCATCGTCACTGTATCCACCCAACACTTAAATGGCACCATGTGCCAGGCCCTGTTCTCAGTACCTTACAAAAAACCACCCAGCAAGGTCCCCACTTTACAGAGGAACCTAAACAAATGAACTCACTTTCCTCCCCTGGCAAACTCCTACTCATCCTTCAAAACCTTGCTAGCACGTCCCTATCCTAATTGCCTGGCAAAGTTTATCGCTCCGTCCTCTGCGTCGCTTGAGACCCCTTCTCCCGTGTTTCCTGGTCTGTGCCCTGCACTGGACTCCTTGCTCAGAATCCTGGTTTTCCGAGTCTGAATCTTATTTTTTACTTATTTATGTTTTATATATATATTTTTGAGACGAAGTCTCACTCTGTGGCCTAGGCTGGAGTGCAGTGGTGCTATCTCAGCTCACTGCAACCTCTGCCTCTTGGGTTCAAGCAATTCTCTTGCCTCAGCCTCCCAAGTAGCTGGGATCACAGGCACACGCCACCAGGCCCGGCTAAGTTTTGTATTTTTAGGAGAGACAGGGTTTTGCCATGTTGGTCAGGCTGGTCTTGAACTCCCAGCCTCAGGTGATCCGCCCGCCTCGGCCTCCCAAAGTGCTGGGATTACAGGCATAAGCCACCGCGCCTGGCCCTGAGTCTGAATCTGGATGTCCACATGTATCCAGCACGGACAAAAGAGTCATGATATATTTGCCAAATGGGACAATGGAGACTGTGGGTCTGCAGCAGCACCTGTATGCCCCACCGTGACAGGACCTCTCGGACTTGGGGGCTAGGCCCTGAAAGGGAAAGGCGCTTGCTGGCTCCTAAGTGGCCAGGACGTCCTCAAGGGCTGTCCTCCGAAGCAGTGTCTGGGCTGGGCTGCTGCCTCAGCCTCAGGGCTCCCCTCGGGGGAAATGGCATCTCCAGCTCATCCTTCCAGCAAGCTAGGGGTGGGGTTGCTCGGAAGGGCCCCCAGTGTCCAGGGATGGCTGCAGGAGACCCAGGAGGAGAAGCCGCTGGGCCAGAAGGAGGGATTTCTCCAGAAGGCGTAGACATTCCTAGGGATGCTTTTCTTTCTCTCTTTCCCATAAGCAAATTTTATTAGATTAAGACCTTGGGGCCAGGTGCAGTGGCTCACACCTGTAATCCCAGCACTTCGGGAGGCCAAGGCAGGCGGACTGCTTGAGGTCAGGAGTCTGAGACCAGCCTGGGCAACATGGCAAAACCCCATCTCTACTAATAGTACAAATACTAGCCGGGCGTGGTGGCGGGTGCCTGTAATTCCAGCTACTCAGGAGGATGAGGCACAAGAATTACTTGCACCCAGGAGGCAGAGTTTGCGGTGAGCCGAGATTGCACCACTGCACTCCAGCCTGGGCGACAGAGTGAAATTATGTCCAAAAAACAAAACAAAACAAAAAAAATAACCCTTGGGGAGAGTGGGCTTTGAAGCCTCCCAAGGCATGGCCCCACACACAGACCTCATTTGATCTTCACAACGCCACAGGCTTGGCTGGAAGGTGTCATTATTCCCCATTATTCCCACTTGAAGGCAGAGGAAATTGAGGCTTCCTAAGGTGGTGACTAGTCCAGGGTCCTGGGATCAGCGGTGGCTGGTGTTCTGAGTCCAAACCCCAGACCACCTGGGTCCTGGCCTGCACTTCTGTGCACTCCTGCAGCCTTCACCCCTGCAGCAGGCCAGCCCGGGAACTTGCTAAGTTCCACCACCATTTCTGGGCTCTTGGGAGAGGGTGTCCTGCTCATGATCTCCTCTCTTTCTGATTCTCAGAAGGATTCAGAAGCAAAAAAAGGGAGCAGGGGCTGGGTCTGGGTGGTGCAGAAAGAGTTCCTTAGGGCTGCCAAAAACACAGGCTGGGGGGGTCTGCTTTTGTCCCAAAGGGAGGCAGGGTGCTCGAGGCTGGCTGCACGCCCCCTACACCCTGCCCTGCAGCCACCGGCCCGCTGCTCAGATCGGGCCCTCCGAGGTGTCTCCTGCGAGGGAGAGCCAAATTTGAGTGCATAAGCAGAGGATGTTTTCCTTCCCAGTGGACAAAACATTTCTGGCGCTTTCGGGAGGGGACTGAACACTCTGTCCACTTTGGCGCTTGCAGGATTCCTGGACGGACACAAATGTGTTTCACATGCAACAAGATTAATTACACAACCTCCTCCGTCCTGGGCCTCGCCCGCCCCACCTCCCGCCCCACCCGCTTCCCTGGTTACCCGCCTTACTCCAGAGCAAACCTTTTGAGACGTCCATTCCAAGTGGCCTCAGGAAGTGAACACTGAGTCATGTGCCTCTTGCCACAGGTCTCCCCAGAGTGGGGAGGGGCTGAGAAACACCCTCTAACTCCAAGTGAACTC